TGGGGAAAGCGGGGGGCAGAGCAGCTGTGGTGCTGCCGCTGCTGCCAGTCAGCAGCGGCTGACTTGGGGAAGCCGGAGGCAGAGCAGCTGGGGTGCTGCCAGGTTGGTTCCACAGCACTGCCCTCTCCCATGCTGCACAGTTCCTCCCCCGTCCCCACCCCAGACCTCTCATCCCCCTTCTCGTACTCTGGCATAGCTGATAATCCGGCACCCCCTGGGTCCTAAAGGTGCCGGATTATCGGAAGTTTACTGTATAATGAAACTGTAAATTGTTTTCATGAATGCTGCGGAGTCTAATCTTTTATGATGCATCTACACTGCATCTAGACTTCTAGAGCTTGAAATAAGCTATGCAGTTTAGTTTGCTTATTTTAAGTCAATTTTGAAATAATTTATTTTGAAATTTGGCACTGTCTACCCAGCAATTATTTTGAAATAAATTGCTATTCTAAAACGTCTGTCGAAGTTAGACACACAGGACTCACAGATTTGTAAGATTGCTCTGTTTATTAGCAAAGCCACTCTGCTAATACACTCAGAAAATGTGAGTACCATACAAGGCTCAAACCCCTTAGATGTATACAGTCAAAAGAAAGCCAACTTAACAAGATTAAAAGGTGGCAAAACTTCTCATGATTAGCATGAGGCTAGTCAAGTATCTTCATTTCCACATCAAGCACACAGCCAGGGGCAGATGAGAGTTTTGCGGGGCCCAGAGCAGTACAATTTAGTGGGGTCCCCCTATGGAGAAAAAATAGGAAAAGGCGTCAAATACGCAGATTGAAGGCTATTTTCATATTACATGTGAATTGGGTAAGTTTGTTAGAAACTTAATTTAGTTGGATAATTTTTTATTTTAATTATATTGTAATTGATTCTTAAACAAAATTCTGCATTAATGATTAAACATTTTCATTAGTATTTAAGTCTGTTATAGCTGTCTAGCTCTTTTGGCAGCTAGGTCTCTAACAGCTGGTGGGAAAATGCTTCTTCCCAGCATCAGCCCCTTCTCCAGCCCCAGGCACTGGATCAGTGAGATGCCCGGGGAGCAGGGAAATCCTGACCCGGTTTAGCCCCCAGCCTCTCAGGAGCCTGCAGAGCAGCTGGAGGGAAAGGTGATGGCACCTCAGGCCCCAGGCAGGGTCAGAGGAGGGGCCATAGAGGCTGCCCCGACTGGCCCCTGCCGAGAAAGGGAGCTTGGACACAGCAAACGAACCTGCCACTGTAGCCCCCACCTCCAGGAGTGGCCTGTGCAGAGTGCTCTGCCAGCCTGATGCTGCTCAGCTTGTGGGCTGGCTCCCTTCTGGTTGGGGGCAACTGCGTGGCTCAGTTGCCCTTTCTCCACACCAAGGCAGCTGTGTGGGCGCCCGGCTACTCGGGCGCATTGCTCTACGACTGGGTGCCGGGGACAGGAATGGAACAGCCCCCGATGCTCAGCCCCCGCCCAGGCGCAGACCAGCTAATGTGGGGCTCACGGGGCTCCCCCACACCGAAACCACCCCTTTCGATGCTGGGGCAGAGGACTCTGGCTGCAGGATCTGGCAGCAGCTGGGGGGCAGGAGATGTGGGGTGGAGGCGGGGCCAGGCACAGCGCCGCGTTGCCTGGGGAGCAAAGCCTCGGAGCACGCCAGCAGTGGGACAGCCGCGGCGCACCTGGGCTGTCCCGCTGCCCGCATGCTCTGCGGCTTTGCTCCGCGTTTCCCAGGTCAGCAGACCAGGGAGACGGAGCAAAGCCGTGGAGGACTTGGGTGGTCCCCCCACACTGTCTCCGTGGTCTGCTGGGGTG